TTAGCGTGACACTGTTATTTTTTCAACTTACCGATACCAATGTCCATGTTACTGTGTAAATGTACATGTGCTGAGCATATACAGACAGTCTAGTCAGTCCAAGAGTTTACTTAACTTCCGTCTGACCGATACATTCAACATCCTCAGTACCACCAGTAAAAACACGGTCCATGCTCAGCAAACATGCATTCTGTTACACAGACAATGTTTGGTTGAGAAAACAAAAAACTAAGCAAGCCATGTCAAGCAAAAGTGTGGAGGCAGCATTCTTTCAGAGAGGCATTTCATTTTTGAGAAATATTTGTGTTTTAGAACGGAAAAAACAAAACTGTACCTTGTTCGGCTAGGCATTATTCTAGTCAAGAGGACGGTTGCCTCTTTCTCCATCCTCTGGGCTTTCTGACTGATGAGACTGTTGACAACGACTGTATATGACAGAACATCAGTTCGAGAAAGACTAGACTTACTTCTTAATACAATTTGTGCTTTATATAGAGAATAGAAAGTGCTCTTGTCAAAAGTGATAAATGTCACTCTGTTCAAAAGTGGTCTTTAGGTTTAGGAATAAAAAAAATAAAATCAATGGACCTAAAGACAGGGTTCCCAACATTTCATGAAGACAAAATTACCTGAGATTTCCCAGATTTTTCACTGAATAAATCCTGAAACTTCTGGAGATAAAAGTATTACAATCACATAAACGCCCAGAACTTAGTTTTTCAGATGGCCGGCAGAGTCACATTCAGAGATTATAGGTATACTCTAGCCTATGGTATATGCATACAACAATCATTCCTAATATTTTTTCATGTTTTATAACATCAGAAACTAAAAAGCCACCATAGCCAATCACAAGGATACCTGTATTATGTAAACTGTAGGAGCAGAACATGGACTCAATGGTACTAGAATACTAGCATGAATACAGTAACATGTCAAAATCTCCAAAGGAATATTTTTTAATCAGCAGATCAGTGTTCAAATTCCCTGAGCTTTATCTGTCTGTAAAATGTGAAAGTAGTTTCTCAGGTTTTTCCTTATTTCTAGAGTTGCTGGGAATCCTGTAAGGAATATTATACTAAAATGAGGTTTAGGACAAAGAAGGACACCATTTCATGTAAAAACACAATTTATGTGCTTGTGTTTTTCTTGTCATCTGTTCAGAGAACAACAATAACCAAACATCCTTCCTTCATTCCTTTCACCTATCTTCCGCTTCTTCCAAAGTCGGGTCACAGGGGCAGCAGCTTGAGAAGAGATGCCCAGACATCTTTTTCCACAGCCACCTCTTCAAGCTCTTCTGGGAGGACTCCAAGGCATTCCCAGGCCAACTGAGAGACATAGTCCCTCCAGTGTGTCCTGAGTCTTCCCTGGGGTCTCCTCCCAGTCGGACATGTCTGAAGCACCTCTCTAGGGAGGCAGCCAGAGAGCAACCTTACTGGATGCCCAAACCACCTGAACTGGCTCCTCTCGATGTGGAGGAGCATTGGCTGTACTAACAGTGTCTCCCGGAAAATTCAATTCAATGCAATTTATTTATATAGCGCTAATTCACAACAAAGTTGTCTCAGGGAACTTTACAGGAACATTCACATACATAGAAAAGCCAATTAGTAAAGTTCTCTATCTAAGGAATCCGGCAGACAAGTTGAATCTTCACTTTGTTGCAGTCTCCCATCCTGAGCAAGCACAACTGCAACAATGGAAAGGAAAAAAGACGAAACCTCCTGCAGAACCAGGCTCAGGACAAACGGCCATCTGCTTTGACCGGCTGGGTTCTTAATTGTCAAAAATAATAGCTATACATCAAAATAATAATAAATAATAAATATTAATAAAAATTGCTATAACAGAAACATTCATATACATTAAAATCATTAATCTAGGTTTGGTTTGAAGAATTTGGTTTGAAATGAACAGAGTGATTCCTGAGATGAACTGCAGTGACCCAGCTCTGAGTAAAAACAGGGCGGTGACACGTAGAACAAAATGTACCAGGGCTGAATGTCCCAGTAAGGTAGCAATAACCAGCCTCAAGAACCAACCATAGGTTTACAACAGAGAATTACACCAGAAGAAGCCAGACCAGGCTGGAACAGGTTTAAACCAGTCTGGGCTGGCTTGGACTTGTCTCTGAGTCAGAAGATATTAACATGGCTCGCACTCACAGTTCTAGGCTGAGTAAGTTCTGGGAGCTGGAGGAACAAGAATGGTATTAAACTGCTCTAGCTGCAGACAAAGATTTTGGCAATCCGAAAAAAGACTCCTTTAGTCAAGATAGGAGTTTCTTTATAGTTTCAGCCTAGATTTTAGACAAAGACAGATCTTCTTCAAATTGAGACAGCTTTCTGAGCAAGGGGCACACCTTCTCCAAGGCTTTGGGGAAAGGTTTTCACTTGCCTTTAACCAAAGATTTCTTCAGACAAAGGAGACTGAGAAATATGGTAAGCAAAGCTCCGATTTACCGTTCTTTTACAAACTTTATACAAAATAATAGTGACGTTCGACCAATCCATTAAGGGAATTAGAATAATTTGATCAACATTTTGGGTCCTCTGTTCATGAATGTCAAACAGTGGAACAGGTTTTACAAAGACAAATAACAATAGTTTGGAGGGATTTCTTGTAAGTTGACTAGGGAGTTTTAGAGTTCTTTGGGGTTCTAGCCCACGCTGGGACTCCGGGCGTGACCCATCTAGATGAGAGGAAGGCTTTCCTACATCGGCTCATAGGAGCTCTAAGGATTCCTAACTCCCTATCTCGGCTCATGGGAGCAAGGAAATCACCACATTAGTTGGACTTCCAATCCTTTGGACATCAAAATCAATTAACAAGAACCTCCCTCAAGCAATGTATGGACTCTTTATTACTGATTCTACTATATAACCAAATGTAATAATTTTAATAATAATAATAATATAGGGAGGTTTTACTGTAAATGGGTTTCTCAGCTGTGAGTATTAAGACAACATCCTGGAATCCTATTCATGGATTCTAAAAAGAACCAGATCAGTAAAAATTGCCATTCTACAATGAAGATGAACAACCGTTAATGTGAGTTTCCCTGTGGACGACGATTCAACTTCAGCTGCTAGGTTGGGCAAGTCCTGGGGTGAGATAAGGGTGTGGCTCACAAATGGAGGTCATTACCAAATCTGGGTGAGCCACCTTCAACAAAGCCTAAGAAGAACTAACCTGTAATTACTCTGGGTAATACTCAAGTATAGACTTAAGTTTGTTATACCCCTTAGAGGAGGGGCTGCAGTGGGGTTTAGCCATAACTCAGATAGTAACTCCATTGGGGTCCGACTTACACCCGAAGTCCCCGATTCTGCTTTCTCCAATGAAAGACGTGCTGGTGGGATTGAGAAGGCCAGAGAAGTATTCCTTCCACCTCCCGACGACATCTCTGGTTGAAGTCAATAGAACCCCAACTTCACTGAACATAATGTTAGTAAAGAGCTGTTTTCCACTTCTCAGCCACCTGATGGTGTGCCAGAAACCCCTCAGAGCCAACAGAGTCTCTATACAAGGCCTCACTGAACTCCTCCCACATCCAAGCTTTTGCCTCAGCAAAAGCCAAGGCCGTGGACCGCCTGGCCCTCCGGTACTCCTCAGCTGCCTCTGGAGTCCCACCAGCCAACAAGGTCCAATAGGACTCCTTTTTCAGCTTGACAGCCTCCCTAACCCGGGGTGTCCACCACTGAGTTTGAGGATGGCTACCGCGAGCAGCACAGACAACCATGCGACCACAGCTCAAGGTAGCCACTTCAACAATTGAGGTGAAAAACATGGCCCACTCAGACTAAATTTTCCCCACCTCAGATGGGATGTGGTTAAAACTCTCCCAGAGGTGTGAATTGAAGATCTTTCTGTCAGGTTCTTCTGCCATGTGTTCCCAGCAAACTCTCACTACACATGTGGGTCTACTGTGGGTATGTCCAGCATCTTCCACCGCCCATCTGACACAACTTACTACTAGGTGGTGATCAGTTGACAGCTAAGCTCCTCTCTTCACTCGAGTGTTCAAAACAAATAGTCGCAAATCAGATGACATGACTACAAAGTCAATCATCGATTTACGACCTAGGGTTTCCTGGTGCCAAGTGCACTTATGGACATCCTTATGTGTGAACATGGTGTTTGTAATGGACAAACTATGACTAACACAGAAGTCCAACAACAGAACACTGCTTGAGTTCATATCAGAGAGGCCGTTCCTCCCAATTCCTCCCCTCCAGGTGAAACTGTTGTTACCCACGTGGGCATTGAAGTCCCCCAGCAGAATAAAGGAGACCCTGGTTGGTGAACTTTCCAGCACCCTCGCCAAGGACTCCAAGAAGGCTGGATACTTTGAACTGCCGTTTGGCACATAGGCACAAACAACAGTCAGAGTCCATCCCTTCACCCGAAGGTGCATGGAAGCTACCCTCTCATCTACTGAGGAAAACTCCAACACACAGGCAACATACCCACACCAGCTTGGCACTTCTCAACATGGGCAACTTCAGAGCGGAATAAGGTCCAGACCCTCTCAAGGAGATCGGTTCCAGAGCCCATGCTGTGCGTCGAGGTGAGCCCAACTATATATAGTAGGTACCTCTCAACATCACACAGAAGCTCAAGGTCCATCCCTGCCAGATAGGTTACATCCCATGTCCCAAGAGTTAGCTTTGGTAAGTCAGGGTCAGAGAGCCAAAGCCCCCTGCCTTCGGCCACTACCCATGGTGTCATGCACCTGACTCATATGGCCCATCCTACAGGTGGTGGACCCACAGGAAGGCAAACCCATGTTACTCGTTCCAGCCGAGCCTGACCGGGCCCCAACGGTGGAGACCTGGTCACAAGGCACTTGCTGATGAGCCCCTCCCCCAGGCTTGGCTCCAGGTTGGGACCTCGGTAACCCATGTCTGGGCAAGGGACACTGAGCTCCTTGTATATTTCTGTCCTTGACTAAGTTTAATCTTGATCATTCTAAATAACAAACATTGGTTTCATACCATCTCCTGGTGTGACAGCCACTGGGACACGATCCTGACGCATAATCACTCCTTTGGCCAGCACCTACAAAAGCAGGTATTACAAGGAAATCTTTTTAATGATGCATGAACAAATCTACAATTCAACTTGTTGTTTTGCACAATTATATAAAAATATATTTCAGAGACCAAGTGAAATGTAAGGCTTGATTTTTGCTGTGCTAAAAACATTTAGAGGCCAGGTATAGATCACCTTCTCTAATTATCAAATGTGTGGAAACTGATATAAACTTATGGCCAAAGAAACCCACATACCAGGTAAAAGAAGTTGAGTGTCGTCTGTTTATCGATCAGCTCGTTCTTCTGGATGATGTACTGAACTTTCAAAGTAGCATCTTTGTTACAAGGTAAACCCCCGTCGACCCGCTTGAGCCCCAAAAAACTATTGCTCTTGGAGTAAAAAGGGGACACATACTGGTAAGCTGTCCCATAGTCTGGTCTTCTTAAGTTGGGGATGAAAGGTTCAGTTTCTGTTTTTTCTGTAGTTGAAGCCTGTTAAAAAGGTGAGGTCAAAGGTCAAATCTCTGATGATCTTAAGCTCCATTTCTCAACAATAAACCAACAAAATCCTCTTGATTAGAATAAAGGCCACTGTGGACATCGTTTCACATGTTAATATCTTTAAGTGTTTCCACATCTACTGAACTTTGAGGCTCATTTGATGTCAATTTAGTCATCTGTAGAACTAAGAAGGTTCTGTAGATTGACTGCTAAACAAAGCAGACCCCCATCTACAGAGCAGCATGGAAGACTATGCCCCAATATATGAGGTTTAAGCTTAGCTGATCTAAAATCTGGTCCCAGACAAAGCAAAGCACGGTTCCAGTTGGTTGGTGCACAAGGAAACTAAGGAAACTACCTGGGTCCAATGGCCAATCATTAACAGATTTTCCTGAAATGTTTTTGCAAACAAAGAAACACCGCACACTCCAACTAACCCGCAGAGACACAGAATCCTTCCAGAAGGTGGTGCCAAGAGAAAACACAACAATGCCTTTCAGGTCGGTGGTGAGCGTTAGCTTCTTAGAGTCTTCAACAAACAAGTAGACCACCTGATTGGAAATAGGTTTGTTGTCTGGACCAACCACTTTGATCTGCAAAACAAAGTAAAGGTAAACTTTCAAGGTATTTATTACAACAACGAGCTGCTCAATTTTCATCATTCAAATTATGCTGCTTTTTTTATACAGGCCAGATGACAAATCTTAAAAGATTATGGAGATGATTCTATTGAAGTTCTAAAAAAATAAAAAGACAAATTCATACTGGCTGTAAAAAAATGATGTGCAAAAAAATGTGTGCAAAATAATTATACAAAGAGAAATGTTGTTGACCAACCATGGATGACGAACGGGTTGAGAAATGCTTGTAAAAAAAATAATTATTTGTATATATGTTTCTTGAAATTGAAAACACAAGAGGCTGAAGAGAAATATAAGAAGTATAAAAATAAACTAGTAGCGATTATAAGGAAACACAAGAAGGAATATTATAGTGATTTATTAAATAAAAGTAATGGTGATATGAAAGCAACATGGCGAGTAATAAATAGTGTTCTGAAAAGTAATAAAGCAAAAACAGGTATTTCACAATATTTTTTGAAGGATGACAATGAAATCCATGATGAAAATGAAATTGTAAATGGATTTAATCATTATTTTGTTAACTTTGGATCAAGTCTTGCAGCTAAAATACCAAAAGTAGACAATAATGTGAACCATTCAGTTACAGGTTGTGACAACAGTATTTTTCTTAATGGAATTGACAAAGAAGAAATAATGAATGTAGTAAAAAAAATCTTACAGATAAGAGATCAAAAGACTGGGTGGACATGGATATGATGTTTGTAAAGGACATTATGAGTTGTTATCGAGTCGTTTACATATATTTGTAATTTATCATTTTCAAAAGGAATATTTCCAGACAACATGAAAGTAGCTAAGGTAGTTCCTCTCTTTAAAAATGGTGATAAATGTGTGTTCAATAATTATAGACGAATATCCTTATTACTACAGTTCTCAAAAATTCTAGAAATACTATTTGTGACCAGATTAGATAAATTTATTACAAAACAAAGCATTCTAAATAGTAGTCAGTATGGGTTTAGAGCAAAAACTCTACATCAATGGCTCTCATGGAATTAATAGAACAAATAACTACTGCTGTCGATCAAAAACAATATTGTGTTAGTATTTTTGTTGATTTGAAAAAGCATTTGATACTATTGACCACACTATTCTCCTTGGAAAATTAAATAAATATGGTATAAGAGGACCAGCATTACACTGGGTATCTAGCTATTTAAAAGATAGGAAACAGTTTGTACAAATAAATGGTGTAAGATCTGACCTCTGCAATATCACTTGTGGAGTTCCTCAAGGCTCTGTACTTGGACCAAAGTTATTTATTTTATATGTGAATGACTTAGTGAATGTATCAGGACTCCTCAAATGTGTCCTTTTTGCAGATGACACCACATTTTTTTGTTTGGGTAAAGATGTAAAACGGATGTTGGAAATGATGAAGACAGAATTTGATAAAATACAAACTTGGTTTAAACTTAATAAATTATCATTAAATTTAGATAAAACTAAATACATGATATTTAGTAACAAAAAGAGAACTGTTGATGATCCATTTTAAATTGAGGGTGTTAAGATTTGTAGAGTTAATGAGATGAAATTTTTGGGTGTAATCATTGATGAACAGCTAACATGGAAAAATCACATACATTCTGTAAGAACAAAAATAGCTAAATCCATTGCAGTACTATACAAAGTCAGGGAATTATTAAATGATAAAGCTCTGTACATGTTGTATAACACAATCATTGTTCCACATTTAATCTATTGCATTGATGTTTGGGGGAAAGCGTGTAAAACATTTACAAAACCTATTTTTATTTTACAGAAAAGAGCTATAAGAATTATCACCAGAAAGCATTACAGTCATCCATTAAGCACATTAATTTATCAACTGAAGTTATTGAAGTTCCATGATTTGGTAGATTATAGTATTTTATCAGTTAAGTATAGGGCTCAAAATAACACATTACCGTTAAATATTCAAAGAAATTTTGTTAAAAGACAAAGTTGTTATAATCTTAAGGGGATAGAGATATTTGTCAAACCACAATTCAGAACTAGTCTGAAGGGAAGGTCTACCTCAATCCAAGGAGTTGGATTGTGAAATGGTCTAGAGAGTGATGTTAAAAATGCCAAGTCAATATACACATTTAAGAAAAAGATCAAAACTGGATTGTTAAAAAAAAAAAATGAAGTAGCTTAGTGTGTTTTTTGTATTAGAATTAGAAAAATTAGAAAGAGTTATTAATTTTGTTCTGTTACTTGAAAATTATTATGATTGAAATAATTGTTTGAAAAAAGGGGCAGATATAATAAGATTTTTTCTTCTTTCTGCTGCCTTTCATTTTAAATCTTTTGTATCTTTTTATATTGTTATGGAATTGTTTTGTACTTTTTAAAAATGAATAAACTTTATACCACACCAAAAATGGATCTTGTTTGTCAGCCATCGGTGGCTTTGTTTTCTAAAAATTGGCACTGGCATTATTCACAGGAAACCCATATTAGTCAAACTCTACTTTGAATAATTAGCATATTAGTTTACCATGCTTGTTTAGTGAGCTAAAATTGACTAAAAGACTTCCTTATTAATTCTGTAGATATTCTAATAAATACACAGATTAGCTGGTAGGTTTGAAGGCAATCTTATGGCCTCCACCAAGGTTCACCGAAACCAAACAGACATTCATGCATATTACCTTTCCTTCATATGGAATGCCAGGCTTGTATGATGAAGATACATCTTCAAAGGTGGTAGTTATTATCTGACTGGTGATACCAACTGTCCCTGTGCCTTTAAGAGTCACCCCTAGTTGGGAGTAAATATACAGATTAAAAATGGTCAGTGCTGCTAATTGAAAATACAATTATCAGAGCCTACCTGTGCCAAATTCCTCCAACTCAGCATTTACCTCCAAACTGTCAGAATAACCATATGAGTTGAGGGAAAACATGTCCAAATTCACAGTTTCTGTAACACATCCACTTTTATCTGTCTAGAAGAAGACAAGAGAAAGAATTTCAAAATATGCAGTTAATCAAAGAGGTAAGTAATTACAGGAAGTGATAATTTTGCACACACACACACACACACACACACAGACACACACACACACACTCCACAAAACAAAAAAAAAACATTACCATCAGTGTATAGCTTTCGCACAAATTGTTTCCTGGGATTTCCAGAAACCTGAATGCTTGTCTACAAATCTCTGCTTTCACACTGCCAAGGACAGATTTTCCATATGTGTACCTGAATGAAAAGGCACAGGAAAAATATATGAGTTTTGAAATTCACCTATTGTTCTTAGTATCACAACCCTGATTACAAAAACACGCGTTAACGTGTTATCTCCTCCTTGAATCACCACCTTATTGTGGTGGAGGAGTTTGTGTACCTGAATGATCCTAGGAGCTATGATGTTGGGGGCAATTATAATTGCTAGGAGACAGGCCAGACAAAGAGTGATTCTGAAGACTTTGGACAACACAAATCAAGGAACTCAGTGTCCCTTGCCTGGACGTAGGTTACCAAGGCAACAACCTGGAGCCAGGCCTGAGGGGAGGGGCTCATCGGCAAGCTCCTGGTGACCGGGTCTCTACCCATGGGACCTGGTCAGGCTCAGCCTGAAGAAGAAACATGGGTTTGCCTTGCTGTGGGCCCACCAATTACAGGAGCAGCCCTAAAATTGATGCATGATGCCATGGGCCGTGGTCAAAGGCATGGGCCTTGGTGCTTTTATCCTGGCTTACCAAAGCTGGCTCTTGGGATGTGGAACATAACCTCTCTGGTAGGGAAGGAGCCTGCGCTTGTGCGTGAGGTTGAGAGATACCCATAGTTGGGCTCACCTCGACGTACAGCATGGGCTCCAGAACTAATTTCCTTGAAAGGGACTAGACCTTATTCCACTCTAGGGTTACCCATGGTGAGAGGTGCTGAGCAGATGTGGGTCTTCTTTTAGCCCCCCAACTTAGTGCCTGTGTGCTGGAGTATTCCCTAGAATATGAGAGGGTAGCTTCCCTGCACCTTTGAGTCGGGGACAGGCTCAGACTGTTGCTTGTGCCTATGCACCAAACAGCAGTTCAGAGTGTCTGGTCTTCTTGGAATCCTTGGCAAGGGTGTGAAAAATGTGTCAGCTGGGAACTTCTTTATTCTGCTGGGGAACTTCAATGCCTATGTGGGTAATGACAGTGTGACCTAGAGGGGCATGATTGGGAGGAATGGCCTCTCTGATCTGAACTCAAGCAGTGTTCTGTTGTTGGACTTCTGTGCTAGTCATAGTTTGTCCATCTCAAACACCAAGTTTGAACATAAGGGTGTCTATAATTGCACTTGGCACCAGCATGCCCTAGGTCGCAGATCGACGATTGACTTTATATTCATGTCATCTGATTTGCGGTCGTTTGTTTTGGACACTCGAGTGAAGAGAGGAGCTGAGCTGTCAAATGATCACCATCTGGTAGTGAGTTGGATCCGATGGGTGGGGGAAGATGCTGGACAGACCTGGTAGACCCAAACATGTAGTGAGAGTTTGCTGGGAACACCTGGCAGAAGAACCCATCAGAGAGATCTTCAACTCACGTCTCTGGGAGAGCTTTAACTGCATCCCAGCTGAGGCAGGGGACATAGAGTCAGAGTAGGCCATGTTTCGCACCTAACTTGTTGAGGTAGCTGCCTTGAGCTGTGGCCCCATGGTTGTCAGTGCTTCTCATGTTGGCCTAGGTGGTGGACACCTCGGGTTAGGGAGGCTGTCAAGGTGAAGGAGTATTACCAGGCCTTGTTGGTCAGTGAGACTACATAGGCAGATGAGGAGTACTGGAGGGCTAAATTGCCTTGGCTGTTTCCGAGGCAAAAGCTCGGATGTGAGCTGAGTTCAGTGAGACCTTAGATAGGGACTCCCGGTAGGCTCAAAAGAGATTCTGGCAAACAATCAGGCAGCTGAGGAGGGGAAAGCAGCACTTTAATAACACTGTGAAGGTGGGGTTCTGTTGATCTCAACAAATGATGCCATTGGGAGGTGAAAGGAGTACATCTCAGACCTCTTCAATCCCACATATGGAATGCCAGGCTTGTATGATAAAGATACTTCCCTGGAGGAGTCTGGGGACTTTGGATTTGGTCTGTTCATAACTGTGGCTGAGGCCGAGGTAGTGAAAAAGCTCTGTGGCAGAAGGGCTTTGGGAGTAGTTGAGATTCACCTTGATTTCCTTTAAGCTCGAAATGTTGTGGGGCTATCTTGGTTGACACACCTTTGCAACATCAAGTTGACTTCGGTGTCAGTGCCATTGGATTGGCAGAATGGAGTGGTGGTTCCCCTCTTCATAAAGCAGGAGCAGAGGGTGTGCTCCAATTATAGGGGCATCACTCTCCTTAGCTTCCCTGGTAAGTTCAGTTCAGGGGTACTGGATAAGAGAGTCCACTCGTTGTTCGAACCTCAGATCCAGGTGGAACAACGTGAGTTCCGTCCTGGCCGTGGAACACTGGATCAGCTCTTTACCCTCACTAGGGTCCTCGAGGGTTCATGCGAGTTTGTCCATCCAGTCTACATGTGTTTTGTGGACTTGGAGAAGGTATTTAACCATGTTCCTCAAGGTTCACTGTGAAGGGGGCTCTGTGAATATGGGAATGAGGGCCAGTTGCTACGGGCTGTTTGGTCTCTATACAAGTGGTGCGAGAATGTGGTTTGCATTGCCGGTAGTAAGTCGGACCCCTTCATGATGGGAGTTGGACTCTGCCAGTGCTGCCCATTGTCACAGATTTTGTTTATAACTTTTATGGACAAAATTTCTCGGTGCGGCAAGGGGGTGGATGGAGTCCGGTTCAGTGGCCTCAGGATTCCTTCTCTGCTATTTGTGGAAGATGTGGTCCTGCTAGCGTCATCGTGCCGGGATCTTCAGCTCTCAATGAAGCAGATCACAGCAGACTGTGAAAATGCTGGGATGAGAATCAGCACCTCCAAATCTAAGGCCATGGTCTACAGTTGGAAAAGGGTGGATTGCTCTCTTTAGGTCGAGGGTGAGGTTCTACCTCAAGTGGAGGAGTTCACCTATCTTGGAGTTTTGTCCACAAGTGAGGGAAGAATAGAGCGTGAAATTGACAGACTGATTGGTACAGCATCTGCAGTATTATGAACTCCGTGCCAGTCCGTTGTTGTGAAGAGGGAGCTGAGTTGTAAGGCAAAGCTCTCAGTTTACTGGTCAGTCTACCCTCACCTATGGTCATGAACTCTGATCAGTGACCGAAAGAATGAGACTGCAGATAAAGGCGGTTGAAATGTTTCCTCCGCATGGAAGCTGGACTCTTCCTTAGAGATAGGGTGAGAAGTTCAGTTATCTGGGAGAGACTCAGAGTAGATGGGCAGCTCCTCCACATCGAGAGGAGCCAGTTGAGGTGGGTCAGGCATCTGGTAAGGAAGCCCCCTGGGCATCTACCTAGGGAGGTGCTTCGGGAGTGTCTGAATGGGAGGAGACTCTGAGGAAACCCCAGGACACGACAGAAAGACTACATCTCTCGAATGGCCTGGGAATGCCTTGGAGCCTTCCCAGAAGAGCTGGAAGATGTGGCTGTGGAAAGAGATGTCTGGGCCTCCCTGCTAAAGCTGCTCCCCCCACGACACGACTTCAGAACAAGCGGAAGATAATGGATGATTGGCAAAATTCATAAACCCATATTGTGTTTACAATGATGCACAATAAACCTATCCACTGCTTAAACAAGCTATACAATTGTTTTGAAAAAAATAGCTCACAGCTGCACATCTTAAAGTGACTGTTGTCAAAAGAAGAGGGAATGATCAACAGTGGGAAACATGAACAACATGTGTTAATGAAAGCTTTTATTTATTTTAACTTAAGGTAAAATTTCTTATTTCAAACAGTTGAGATGTTTACTCTATTCAGGCTTTTTTTTTTATTCAACTATATTTCTCATCTTTGGACCAACTGAGGAAAGACCATAGATGTTGCAACCATTATATGTGAAGGGGACATGTCCCCCCCACATAAAAAAAAATGTTAATTTAGCCCCCCCCCCCCTCCCACACACACACACACACACACTTTTACTATGAAACATTACTTCAATCGACGCAGTTTCTCTTTCTTCGTGAACAAATTCCTTCCACTTAATTAATAGGAGAATACTCAAGCCACTAAAACTCCACTCCAGGTTTTCCTGGTTACCTCCAACTCTAAACACTGCAGCCTGCTGCCTGCACTATTTTTGTCCCTCTCCTCCTGCCTCGGCAGAATATGCGCACAGGTGGAAGAGGTGGAGACACCTCTGTGTTGCTCGCTCACCAGTTTAGCAAGTTTAATCCGGGCAGTTGTTGACCGTGGGGGGGGGGGGGGGGGGTGTTATCATAAACATATATAAACGGTTGGGAGGATGCTTGAGAGGAGCACTACATGGCATCTTAGCTTAGTAGTAACTATGACGCTGTAAGATGCTGCAGGTGTAAGAGACGCTGTGTGCTAAGGTGCATTAAAGTTGAAATGTCTTTAAAACCCCACACCTTATTGTCCTCAAGCTTAGTGCGAAACATCATTTATATGAGTACTGTTGAACACAAGTAAAAAGGTGTAGTGGTGATGTTTTTTATTTCTCTATAAACACAAATAGTGCTGACCTGACGCTCTGTATTAAAGTGTATTAAAGTGTATTGAAGTTAAAATGTTTTTAAAACCCACCGATGAATTTACACAAACTTGGTGAGAAACATGCTTTAAATGTGTGGAATTAAAGGAAATCTTGGTGAAATGCTGCTTTTTTTGTACACTTTTTTACACACACATGCGCACGCACACACACACGCACGCACGCACGCACGCACGCACGCACACACACATACACACACACACCTACATATATCAGTGTGTCCCCCCCACATTACGGATTCTTCTGACGTCCTTGGGACAGACGACCAATTTTAGACACAGAACAATGTTTTTTGCAGTAGAAGTGTTCATTCTAAAAAGTATCATATTCACATCAGGAAACTAGAAAACCTTTAAATAGAGTAACACAGTGAGAAGTTGGCCATGGTCTCTTTCCAGTATGCCCATCACTCCCATTTTTTCTTTCTTTCGGCTATTCCCTTCTTCAGGGGTTGCCACAGCAAACTAAGTCGCACGAAGACTGGGCAATTATTTTTATGCTGGATCCTTCCTGACGCAACCACAGACCACTGAGCTCCCACAGCCTTCTATCTGGAGCAGAGAGCTGCTAGGGTGCCCGGGGGGAGCAGATGGTGGGGATTAAGGGCCTTGCTCAGGGTCCCAGAGTGGGATAAATGAGGGTGGAGACAGGTGTAGGTGTTTCACCTTTCCCACCCACATTCTGATGTTGTCTGTACAGGGAGTTGAACCTGCGATCTTCCAATCACAGGCCCATCTTCTCTAAACTCTGCACCACTACTCCACTGTGCAATAAAAAAAATCTATTGAATCCAACACATTTTGCTTTACTTGAGCTTGAAAACAGCAGAAACAGCATCTGAATTGTAAACAAGTTATTAAACACAATGAACACTTACTTTCCACAAATGTTCATCGTCAGATTTGTATCCAGGATGGTTACCACATTGGGCAGGTAAACATTCACCTCATATTTTGGTAAAACTGTAGTAATAAAAACAGAATCAAAAGTCTTCTAGCTGCAAAGTTCAATGCTGCAGCTCAAAATCAGAGTTATCAGTAAGTATGATGCAACTTTGTTTTCTTTGTGTCGGTGTAACTTCTTCTCACCATACTCTTTGATCTCAAAGTTGTGGGATATTTCTTTTCCTTCGTCCGTCACAGCGTTGATCACATATGTTCCTTGTGGTGCCTCAGTAATAGTTGGATGTGAAAAGTCAAGGATAATGGCGTCCTCTGTATTGTTGCCGACACTGGACCACTGGGCAATGCGATTGGAATTTGGATCCTGCGCACAATAACAATTTATATTTGCTCAACAAATATTATTTTACAGAAGTGAAGGAAGTTGATAACTGGACATCATTAACTTCACGCAGACTCACTCACTACTACATATTCATCTTTAAATCACTTCTTGGTCTGTTGCTTTCATACATATCCTAGATGTCACTACGTGAGTGCAGCTACAGCGTGCGCTCTCAGGACATTATTACTTGCGGTGTTCCTTTAGTGCAGACTGAACTAGTGTAGTGATGTAGGGACAGCTTTGCTGTTAGCTTCACTACTAACTAATTATTCTTAAAGCTAGTTCAAGCACAAAGAATATTAATTGTTTAATTAACACGGATTCTTTCTTTTTCGAGTTAAATTTCTGCCATGTGACCGAGATAACTGTGAGTGGATTGTTTAATCAGTGACATGAGATGCCATTTTATCTTTGACCCATCAGAATAAATGCGGTCATTTATTTAACAGAATCAAAATTTAACATCAAAACATGTACACTTTGATTTGCTGATCTGTTTCTGATTAATAAAAACTTGGCACGCTTTACTAACAAGACAACAGAACATTACTAATTGAGGCTGATTCACCTCTGAAGGCATCTAGATTACTGGCAAATAGAAAAGTTAAGAGAAGACATAGATTTAAAGATTTAAAGGGAGGTTTAGATGGAAGCTATGTGTGAAACCAGAACTTTGCACCCTTCCTCCGACACCCGCTCAGCTTTCCGGTACACTTCAGGACGTGCAGAGACTTTGTTACCTTAGATGGGGGATACCTTCACTCCGAAACAGAAGTCCATTAGTACGATCCCTTTACAGCATCTCTGGTTAAAGTAGCTGGGAATCTTTAGAATAAATGCATATACTCAGTTCCACCTAATAAGCTTCCTTAGAAGTGGAGCATTTACTGTTCTGGTTGAGTGCACAGCGATGCGAGCCGTGACTACGCTAAATGGACGGACCCTTGTCTCACGGTCAAATCCATCAGCTATTGATTAAATCTGAAAGTTCCTTAGGAACTCTCAGTAAGACTCCAGTCAGAGATTCCACTCAGAAGTGGAAGACTCCTGGGAAGACTTCATAGAGGAAGACTGAAAGAAGACTCAAAGAAGACTCAAGGAAGACTGAATAGTCCCAGGAAGTGTTGACTTTTTAAAGAGT